CCAGTTTATAAAACTTTTCACTAGCTTTACTCTTGAACCATTTACGTACATATTGATACTATATTTTCCAGTTTTCGAAAAGAAAATTTGCCTTATAAACTTACTTTAAAATTTGGCAACTGAAACTTACTGAATACTGATAATCTATCATGATGATTCGGTCAGAAGTAGTTTCAGATTCTTTGGGATTTCTAGCGGATGTCCATAAAACTCTTTAGATTTGTATTAGGTTGAGCACTTTTTACATTCAATTTCGCAGTATTCCTCATCTATGCTGGTTGTGAACGCCGACCAAAGAGTCGCATGAGCATTGTCTTGGATTCGAAAATATTTTCAGTAATATGNCCTTTTAATATTTATATTAGATGACGAATCTTCCACATCCACATGAAATCAGAGAAGAATCCACAAGATACCGTAGTTAGACTCGCTGGGATTTAAAAGCCACAGAAGAGAGTCCGCTAGCGCATTTATAAGTCCGTAAAGGCAAGGGACGCGTGTAGACGAGCGTTATCTTGTCAAATAAAAGATCTACATCAATATATTAATATATTTTGAAATGGTAAAGGCAAACTCCAATGGAAATAGCTTTTTCATTACCTTCATAGTCGACAAGACAAATAGTCGTTGCGGTAATTAACGGGACTGAAAGCAAGGCAAGAACAGCTACAATATAATAGAAGCCTCTTGTATATGGTTTTCTTCTGGGAGTTCCGCAAATGTGAGAAGATTTACAAGATCATGTTTGACCAATAACTGATATCTTTGTGACAATAACTTAGTTCTTCCACTTATCTAATTCATACCGCATTTATCGTTTTGTTATTACTTTATTACTGTAACAACTTATTACTCGTTATTACTTATTACTTTTATTACTTGAAGCTTTTATTACTAATTACAAAGTAAGAAGTAATAACATTACTCCTTATTACTACTAGTAATCAGTGATAAATCTGAAAATGATAATAGTAATAAATAATAAAATAAAAGTTTCAACTTTATCCCTTACTACTAGTACCAAGCACTTGAAGCCCGAATAGTATTAAAATGATAAATAATAAAGCAACTAGCGATGAAAAGTAATAATAATTATTACTTATTACCGAGTAATAGTAATAAAAAGTAATAGTAATGTGGCAGCCCTACTGCTTAACTTAGAGATCGAATGGTGGAGAGTTTTACCTTGTAGTTGGCTGCTCCAGATGATTTGTCTGTTGAACTCTCAGTGTTACAAGAACAGTTAAAAATTCAACTATAAGGCTTAAAGGAAATATGTACAATAAAATAGACTGTAATTAATTCTACGGTTTCTTGGAGATTCCTCGTATTTCTGGTATTATTACTCCAAAGACCTCCAGAATTCTGTATTTGAATTCCATTTCATTGGTGGGTTGAGGAGAGTCCTTCAAAAGTACCACTTTCGATGGGGTCACAACTACCTAAGGAAAACTTTTGATTTTTCCCTATTCAACATTTGATTTGAAAAGTTTTTTTTAGCAGACTTTTTGCCTTAACGGCGGAAAGCTTTTCTGAATTCACCGCTATTCCATTTCACAGTTCAGGAGACCGATCACAAAAAACGGGAGCAATTGCGGTAGTTTGAGCAGAACTCTGAAATACCCTTTTTTCCTAGACTCGTTCTTTCGCTTTTTTTCTCATATGAAACTACTGTGAAAGACTTTTCTGTAATCTCATGCAAAAAATAATTCCTTATGATGATTAACACAACGATAATTGTTTGTGAATAACAATGATAATTAACGGTAAATCATAGGCAATAGGCAATAAATCTTTGGTATACCTAGTTCAACAAGAACTGTAGTTCCCATTCGCAGGAACTGAAACCGTGAACCGTTCCTCGTTTCTAGGAACGTGAACTGCTGAACCCGAAACTGAAAAACATTTACCGCTCAATAAACTTGATCGCAGTCACTTTTCGCATATTCTCTGCGAAAGAAAATAATTCACATTCTTGCATTTAGCCTAATTTTGTCTTTTCGACTCGTACATACGTAGAATGAGTTTAAATTTCTTCATATTCTCAGATTTTTTTCTTCTCTAGATGTGACGCTGTTCAATCGTGGTGCTCTATTTAATATTGGCTATTCAGAAGCTGTCAAATTCTACAATTTTACTTGTTTCATATTTCATGATGTCGATCTTTTACCGGAAGATAATCGAATCTCTTACAAATGTCACGATCGACCCATGCATTTCGCTGTATCCACTGACAAATACAATTACAAGTTACCCTACGCTGACTATTTTGGAGGTGTAACAGCATTTAACACAAACGACTTTTTAACAATAAACGGTTTTTCCAATGTTTATGCTGGTTGGGGTGGAGAAGATGATGGTAAATAACTAGAAGTGTTATGTGCTGAAAAATATAGCTTCACTAATAATTTAGATCTTCGAAGGCGTGTAAATCAAAAGTTCGGCTCTGCTATCCTTCGGCCACCACCTGAAATTGGTCATTATAAAATGATTCGTCAATTTGGACATGTTAGTGCACCATTAGGAATTTATCGCTTTTCTTTACTAAAGTCAAAGTATAATTATAGCCTAGATGGCTTAAATACAGTCAATTATACAGTACATGATATTAAATTTTTTTCACTTTTTATAATGGTTAATGTTACGGTAGAAGAATTGACGTTAAATCAGATAAACCAAAGAATAAGAAAAACTATTACTGTATAGGAATAAATATTGAAAAATCGGCAGTAAGCATTGACCCATACTTAGAGACTGTAAAATCTTAATAAATAATAGAAAATCTACCACACCCAAGCAAAAAAAATGGAGCTAGAATCGGGCGGTTGGAGCTAGATAACACGGTTTTCGACCCGATTAAGCTAGATCCACCTTAAAAGGTTTAACCTAGGATCGGACGGTTCAACCTACTTTTGGGCGGTTGGGGAGTTTATAAGCTAGGTTAACCGACCACTTATCCGACCGATTAAGCTAGTTTCTGGTATCAAATAGATTAAACACAGGGAGGTTACCAGCTAGGTTAATCGCCTACTTAACCAACCGACCGATCTAGCTCCAACCGGGCAATTAACCGACTGGTTCAGCTAGTTCCAGACATGAAATGCATTAGATACGGGGAAGTTATCAAGTAATCTACA